AATTTTGAACATAAACGAATATTATACAGTACAAGGATTGCTGCCGCTGCCCCGCGGGTTAGGTATTCCCCCCTGTTCACTTCCGCGTGTTAAGTAGTAGGACCGGATATTACATATATGTAAACCTTTCTCAGATTTGTTCTTTTCGTGATATCTAATTTTGGTGAATATTTTTGTCATTTTTGGTAGATTCGATTGCTTTGATACTATACATATTGTTCATTTTCTAATGATGTCTTCAGTTCTTTAATTGAAATGTGCTTTGCTAACAGTGGAGCTATCTCAGCCGATAGGCTGCTTGTTTGATTATTGTATAAGTCATCTCAATAGTATTGTCTGAATTAAGAAAATACATGTTTGTGTTAGTCTGTAACAACAAATAATTTATAACATCAATTATTTGTTTATTTTGACAGAAATATTTCCTGTATGTATACTGAATATAAAATCTTTGTTTCTAATTGTCATGTTCTTGTTTTGCTTTTTCCCACAGCACAGCAAAATACAATGTCTTGACGTTTCTACCAAAATTTTTATTTGAACAGTTTAGGAAATATTCCAATTTATTCTTCTTGTGCATAACAATTATACAGGTAAGTTGTTTAAGTGTGGGAGGGGTCGAGGGTCGGTGATGTCACTTCTGTCTTTGTGAGTGTAAAGTAACTGATTGTAAGTTATAAATTAAATCTACAATGTAACAGTAATTATAATGTTGACACTATTTCCGTATTGGGAGCTGTACTATACATATACACAGGGTTGTCCGCTTCTGCTTTTTATCCTATGTTAGAAACAGTGATGTCAGTTTCATTGAGCAAGTAGTAATATAATGTCATAGATCTGTTATATATTTAACCCTTGCTCTGATCTGAAGTTATTTATATCACCACAGTTTAGTTGTGATGCTTTGATACTTAGATCTCTCTAGCTACCAATCACCAATTCAGACAAAACTGTAAATTCACAGCTGACTTCATTTCAAAGTACAGTAAAACCTGTGTATAGTAACCACTGTTGAGTATCTTAAAAAATTGGCCTTTATAGCCAGGTTGTCTTTATAAAAATAATTCATTTGTGAAATTAACAAGAATTTCTCATTTATAACATATCACCTGCTAAAAGCCTGGAATGAATTAATATGATAATTGTTAGTCTTGAATTCTTTGTGGGTGTGTTGTCTATATATATATATATATATATATATATATATATATATATATATATATATATATAGGTAGTCATTGTTGGCATGTTGTCTTTATATTTTTGGTATCTCCCCTTTGTCCCAAAATTCAACTTGCATCACGTCTGTCTGTCATCGATGTCTCAAACTGGGTCCATAGCGTTGGGAAAATCCTTTGCATGTCTTTGGATTTTTTGAGGTCTGGAAAGTCTTTGAGTTGTCTTTAAATTACAAAAAAATTCTTTGTAAAGTCTTCAAATTTCTTCATAGTTTTTACCGGTAATTCATTTTAGAAAGGCCAGTTTTCTCTTCATAATCGTTTTCTACCCCAGTTCCGACAAGTGTCTGCAGCTATCCCATACCCGCCCTTCTACCATGTTGGCTGGAATTAAGAGCCAAAATGTCTTGGAAAGTTTGGGAAAAGGTCGGGAAAAGTCTTGGTGCTATGGACCCTGTCAAATTTCACTCTTATATAATGAGTTGACAAATTGGAAAAAAGTAATACTAAGTAACATGATAACGATGCATATCTTCTCCCATCCACATAATATGTCATCTGTAATTTGCATAATTGATTAAAATACTGCTGACTGATTGAAAAGAACACTCTGTCCTTGAACGCCTTGAATGGGATGATGATGATCTAGTCATTAAAACGGTTGCTAGGCAATAATAATTTTACCTTATTAAAAATGAAATTTCTATATGACATGCATTAATTATGAAAATCCAAAATATAACTATGATTTATGCAGCAATTATAAAAAATCGATGAATAAGTATATTGGTAATTTCATCTTCACACTGGGTTTATTAAAATCTTTAAAATATAAAAATTCTTGTTCATAATTTCTGTTTTTTCAATGGAATGATTAGAGTAAAATGACATTCATGATCCACCTCTATGGAGTTCACTTTATGTATGAGTAAACATAAAGCCTTTTGTTAAAATGCATGCAGCACCACATCTCACAACACCACTCGTTGATTACCGGTACATACACCGTATCTCACAACACCACTCGTTGATTACCGTACATACACCATATCTCACAACACCACTCGTTGATTACCGGTACATACACCGTACATGTATCTCACAACACCACTCGTTGATTACCGGTACATACACCGTATCTCACAACACCACTCGTTGATTACCGGTACATACACCATATCTCACAACACCACTCGTTGATTACCGGTACATACACCGTATCTCACAACACCACTCGTTGATTACCGGTACATACACCGTATCTCACAGAGCACCACTCATTGATTACCGGTACATACACCGTATCTCACAGGGCACCACTAGTTGATTACCGGTACATACACCGTATCTCACAGGGCACCACTAGTTGATTACCGGTACATACACCGTATCTCACAACACCACTCGTTGATTACCGGTACATACACCGTATCTCACAACACCACTCGTTGATTACTGGTACATACACCGTATCTCACAGAGCACCACTCGTTGATTACCGGTACATACACCGTATCTCACAGAGCACCACTCGTTGATTACCGGTACATACACCGTATCTCACAGGGCACCACTAGTTGATTACCGGTACATACACCGTATCTCACAGGGCACCACTAGTTGATTACCGGTACATACACCGTATCTCACAACGCCACTCGTTGATTACCGGTACATACACTGTATCTCACAGAGCACAACCAGTTGATTACATACACTGTATCTCACAGAGCACAACCAGTTGATTACATACACTGTATCACACAGAGCACAACCAGTTGATTACATGCACTGTATCTCACGGAGACCAACCAGTTGATTACATGCACTGTATCTCACGGAGCACAACCAGTTGATTACATTCACTGTATCTCACAGAGCACAACCAGCTGATTACATACACTGTATCTCACAGAGCACAACCAGTTGATTACATACACTGTATCACACAGTGCACAACCAGTTGATTACGTACACTGTATCTCACAGAGCACAACCAGTTGATTACATTCACTGTATGTATCTCGCAGAGCACAACCAGTTGATTACATACACTGTATCTCACAGAGCACAACCAGTTGATTACATACACTGTATCTCACAGTGCACAACCAGTTGATTACATACACTGTATCTCACAGAGCACAACCAGTTGATTACATACACTGTATCTCACGGAGCACAACCAGTTGATTACATACACTGTATCTCACGGAGCACAACCAGTTGATTACATACACTGTATCTCACAGTGCTCCTCCAATAAACATATAAATAAATTATGGAACAGTACTCTAGAGTTTGTACACCATTGTTATACTATTTACCACTGTATATAAATGTCACCTTGTATCTGACATGGTCACATCTGCTATAGCATAATAAAGGACAAATAACTGTGTCTATTATTTCTTGTTTCTCAATTCCACATTATATATCTTTTACATTTATTTTTACAACTATAACTAACTAAAATGATTCATACAATAAGATTAATTCTGTTTTGTTGGCCAGTATTTTCTGAACAGAATTTTATAAATTCCAATCTATTTTGAGTATATCTAAATAACAACATCAATTTTCAGAAAATTGTGATACAATAATTGTCCAGACCTGAAAACCTTGCAATTCAACTTTGTATATTAAAGGACGCTGCATCATGTTTGATATGGGACCTATAACATTTT